TGAAATATGGATAATATTTGTGCTATCATCATTGATCTACCCTATACAGTCGTATTTTTTCATTATATAAATTACAATCTTTAATTATATATATATATATATATATATATATATATATATATATATATATATATATATATATATATATATATATATATATATAACTGAAAACTCACACCCCAGAGGTGACTCGAACCCATACTGCCAGGAGAACTCTGCTGGCGAACAGGACACCTTAACCACTCCACTCGACCAACACGATCGGACATAAGGAGGTGATAGCCGAAGCTATTTGAACCACCCCCCCCCCCCCCCGCCGGCACTCTGATGGTAATCTTGGGCATAGTATTTTATCAAATCACCTCATTCTTTGGGGCACACGTGAGGAACACGTGTGCCCCAAATACATATCTTTCTTGCAAAGATATGTTGTTGAATATGACCGCAAGGGTAAGATTAATGATTCTAACACTAATCTTTTCAATATTTTTTACGTTTTTCTTCACTGTCGAGAGAAGTTGAAAAATTAACTCTCCAAAGTTCATTTATACACTTTATTAATGAACTTTGGAGAGTTAATTTTTCAACTTCTCTCGACAGTGAGGAAAAACGAAAGAAATATTGAGATGATTCGTGTTAGAGTCATTAATCTTACTCTTTCGGTCATATTCAACAACATATCTTTGCAAGATAGTCGGAACGAATTACTTGGCCACGAATGGAAGGCCCGATTTTCCTACCAAGCCCAATTTTCTTTAAATTTATACTTTTCTCCTTTTTTCTAATAGAATGATAAAGCTTTCCATTATATGACATATTATATAATTATATTATATATGATATATTTTTGTATTTGAGTTAAAATTAGTGAGTGTGTATAATGAAAATATATGACCAAACCTACCTTGGTTAACTTGAGGTTACCTTGAGGTGCTTCCCGGACTTGGCGTCCCCGCGGCCCGGTCCTCGACCAGGCCTCCTCGTTGCTGGACTGATCAACCAGGCTGTTGGATGCGGCTGCTCGCAGCCTGACATATGAATCACAGCCTGGTTGATCAGGTATCCTTTGGAGGTGTTTATCAAGTTCTCTCTTGAACAATGTTTAGGGGTCTGCCAGTTATGCCCCTTATGTATAGTGGAAGCGTGTTGAACTGTCTCGGGCCTCTGATGTTGATAGAGTTCTCTCTCAGAGTACCTGTTGCACCTCTGCTCTTCAACAGGGGTTTTCTGCACATCCTGCCATGCCTTCTGGTCTCATGTGATGTTATTTCTGCGTGCAGGTTTGGGACCAGCCCCTCTAATATTTTCCAGGTGTAAATTATTATGTATCTCTCCCGCCTACGCTCAAGAGAATACAGATTTAGGCTCAGCAGTCGGTCCCAATAGTTTAGATGTTTTACTGAGTGGATTCTAGCAGTAAAGGTTCTCTGCACGCTCTCCAGGTCAGCAATTTCTCTAGCTTTGAAAGCGGCTGTCATTGTGCAGCAGTACTCCACTCTAGAGAGCACTAGTGTCTTGAAAAGTATCATCATCGGTATAGCATCTCTAGTGTGAAAGGTTCTTGTTATCCAACCTGTCATTTTTCTTGCAGTTGTGACGGCTACTTTATTGTGTTCTTTAAAGGTAAGGTCTTCCGACATGAGTACACCCAGATCCTTTACATTGCCTTTTCGTTCTATGTTATGATTTGACTGAGTTTTGTACGTGGTTTCCGTTTTTATATTTTCCTTTTTTCCATAGCGCATGAGCTGGAACTTATCCTCGTTAAACACCATATTATTTTCTGTAGCCCATAGAAAAACCTGATCTACATCTGATTGGAGGATTGCCGTGTCCTCTATGATGTAACCTAACCTAAGTAACCTAAGTAACTCAGATGAAAGAAACTTTGCCCATTTGTTTCAGCATCGGAAGGAAATCGTAACCGGACCCTTAGGACTATGAAACCCCAAGCGCTGGTCACTCGATCAGCTATGAGCCCCCCCCCCCCCCAAGTGTGTATTCACCTAGTTGTTACATGGTTGATGGGGTTCTGGGAGTTCTTCTACTCCCCAAGCCCGGCCCGAGGCCAGGCCTGACTTGTGAGAGTTTGGTCCACCAGGCTGTTGCTTGGAGCGGCCCGCAGGCCCACATACCCACCACAGCCCGGTTGGTCCGGCACTCCTTGGAGGAAACTATCTAATTTTCTCTTGAAGATGTCCACGGTTGTTCCGGCAACATTTCTTATGCTCGCTGGGAGGGTGTTAAACAACCGCGGACCTCTGATGTTTATACAGTGTTCTCTGGTTGTGCCTATGACATCTCTGCTCTTTACTGGTTCTATTCTGCATTTTCTTCCATATCGTTCACTCCAGTTCGTTGTTATTTTACTGTGTAGATTTGGTACTTGGCCCTCCAGTATATTCCAGGTGTATATTATTTGATATCTCTCTCGTCTCCTTTTTAGTGAGCACATTTGGAGAGCTTTGAGACGATCCCAACAATTTAGGTGTTTTATCGTGTCTATGCGTGCCGTATATGTTCTCTGTATTCCCTCTATTTCAGCAATCTCTCCTGCTCTGAAGGGGGAAGCGAGTACTGAGCAGTACTCAAGACGGGACAACACAAGTGACTTGAAGAGTACAACCATTGTGACGGGATCCCTGGACTGAAAGTTCTCGTAATCCATCATATCATTTTTCTGGCTGTCGCAATATTTGCTTGGTTATGCTCCCTAAACGTTATGTCATCGGACATCATTATTCCCAAATCCTTGACATGCTGGTGCTTGCGGGGGTTGAGCTCTGCTCTTTCGACCCGCCTCTCAACTGTCAATCAATCGTTTCTAACTACTACAACTTTTTTTCCCACACACACACTCACCCCCAGGAAGCATCCCGTGACAGCTGACTAACTCCCAGGTACCTATTTATTGTTAGGTAACAGGGGCATAGGGTGAAAGAAACTGTGCCCATTGTTTCTCGCCGGCGCCTGAGACCGAACCCGGGACCACAGGATCACGTGTCCAGCGTGCTGTCCGCTCGGTCCCGTGTGTGTGTGTGTGTGTGTGTGTGTGTACTCACCTAGTTGTGCTTACGCGGGTTGAGCTCTGGCTCTTTGGTCTCGCCTCTCAACTAACCTAACACACACACAACTGTACTCACCTATTTGTACACACCTATTTGTGGCTGCAGGATCGATCATTGACTCTTTTATCCCGCCTTTCGAGCATCGGTTGTTTATAGCAATGACTCCGGTCCTATTTCCCTATAATATCTAGTTTTAAAATTATGAATAGAATTTGCTTCCACAACCTGCTCCTTAAGTGCATTCCATTTCCCCACTACTCTCACGCTAAAAGAAAACTTCCTAACATCTCTGTGACTCATCTGAGTTTCCAGCTTCCACCCATGTCCCCTCGTTCTGTTATTATTCCGTGTGAACATTTCGTTTATGTCCAATCTGTCAATACCCTGAATATTTTATACTTTCCTATCATATCCCCCTCCTCTCCCTTCTTTTTTCTAGTGTCGTAAGGCACAGTTCCTTCAGGCGGTCTTCATACCCCATCCCTCGTAAGTCTGGGGCAAGTCTTGTTGCAAACTTCTGAACCTTTTGCAGTTTCCTTATATGCTTCTTCAGATGAGGACTCCGTGATGAGGTGGCATACTCTAAGACTGGCCTCACGTAGGCAGTGTAAAGCGCCCTAAATGCCTCCTTACTTAGGTTTCTGTATGATATTCTAACTTTTGCCAGTGTAAAGTACGCTGCTGTCGTTATCCTATTTATTTGTGCCTCAGGAGATAGATTAGGTGTTACGTCCACGCCCAGGTCTCTTTCTAGTGTCGTCACAGGTAGGCAGTTCCCTTTCATTGTGTACTGTCCTTTTGGTCTCCTATCACCTAGTCCCATTTCCATAACTTTACATTTGCTCGCTTTGAACTCCAGTAGCCACTACAATCCTCATGTCACAACTCTTCTCATCAACTTTGCGTCATCTGCAAACATCGACATGTAGGACTCTACTCCTGTAAACATGTCGATAACATATATTATAGAATTTGTCCCAGTACTGATCCTTGTGGTACTCCACTCGTTACTGTTCGCCAGTCCGACTTCTCGCCCCTTACCGTAACTTTTTGGCTCCTTCCTGTTAGGTAGTTCCTTATCCATGCTAGGGCATTTCCTTGGCCACAGTGCCATGCTAGGGCACTGTGTGTGTGTGTGTGTGTGTGTGTGTGTGTGTGTGTGTGTGTGTGTGTGTGTGTGTGTGTGTGTGTACTCACCTATTTGTACTCACCTATTTGTGCTTGCGGGGGTTGAGCTTTGGCTCTTTGGTCCCGCCTCTCAACTGTCAATCAACTGGTGTACAGATTCCTGAGCCTACTGGGCTCTATCATATCTACATTTAAAACTGTGTATGGAGTCAGCCTCCACCACATCACTGCCTAATGCATTCCATCCGTTAACTACTCTGACACTGAAAAAGTTCCTTCTAACGTCTCTGTGGCTCATGTGGGTACTCAGTTTCCACCTGTGTCCCCTTGTTCGCGTCCCACCAGTGTTGAATAGTTAATCCTTGTTTACCCGGTCGATTCCTCTGAGGATTTTGTAGGTTGTCATCATGTCTCCCCTTACTCTTCTGTCTTCCAGTGTCGTAAGGTGCATTTCCCGCAGCCTTTCCTCGTAACTCATGCCTCTTAGTTCTGGGACTAGTCTAGTGGCATACCTTTGGACTTTTTCCAGCTTCGTCTTGTGCTTGACAAGGTACGGGCTCCATGCTGGGGCCGCATACTCCAGGATTGGTCTTACATATGTGTACAAGATTCTGAATGATTCCTTACACAGGTTCCTGAAGGCTGTCCTGCTGTGTGTGTGTGTGTGTGTGTGTGTGTGTGTGTGTGTGTGTGTGTGTGTGTGTGTGTGTGTGTGTGTGTGTGTGTGTACTCACCTAGTTGTGCTTGCGAGGGTTGAGCTCTGACTCTTTGGAGTTAGATCCACTGAGAACTGTCTCAATAAAGCTGACACTTCTAAATGCTGTCCAACTGAAACTGACGCCACCAAACACCGTCCAACACGGCTGACACCCGGGCCGCACCTGGGCCGCACCAGGGCCGCACCAGGGTCGCACCTGGGCCGCACCAGGGCCGCACCAGTGCCGCACCAGGGTCGCACCTGGGCCGCGCCAGGGTCGCACCTGGGGCCGCGCCAGGGTCGCACCAGGGCCGCACGAAGGCCGCACCTGGGCCGCACCAGGGCCGCACGAAGGCCGCACCTGGGCCGCGCCAGGGCCGCGCCAGGGCCGCGCCAGGGCCGCACCATGGCCGCACCAAGGCCGCACCATGGCCGCACCTGGGCCGCACCAAGGCCGCACCTGGGCCGCACCAGGGCCGCACCTGGGCCGCACCAAGGTCGCACCTGGGCCGCACCAAGGCCGCACCTGGGCCGCACCAGGGTGGCACCAAGGCCGCACCATGGCCGCACCTGGGCCGCACCAAGGCCGCACCTGGGCCGCACCAAGGTCGCACCAAGGCCGCAACTGGGCCGCACCAGGGCCGCATCTGGGCCGCACCAAGGTCGCACCTGGGCCGCACCTGGGCTGCACCATGGCCGCACCTGGGCCGCACCAAGGCCGCACCTGGGCCGCACCAAGGTCGCACCAAGGCCACACCTGGGCAAGCAATCAGTGTCACCCTTCTCGCTTGGCTAACCCGGAATCCCACATGTAAGCCGCTCGTCCGAGCCCCGAGTTCCTCAAACACCAGACCCACTCCGAGGTCTGGCCGACCCCTTCCTGGCCAGGGATCGTCCCTGGCCGGCCCCCTCCTGCCTAGGGGTCGTCTCTGGCCGGCCCACTCCTGGCCAGGGGTCGTCCCTGGCCGACCCCCTCCTGCCTAGGGGTCGTCTCTGGCCGGCCCACTCCTGGCCAGGGGTCGTCCCTGGCCGACCCCCTCCTGCCTAGGGGTCGTCCCTGGCCCTCGTCGATGGCATCGTGGTCGTTCCTGGCGGGCATCACCAACACCACAGCAGATGTTACCTTACCTTGAGGTTACCTCGACATGATATCTGGTTGATGGGGTTCTGGGAGTTCTTCTACTCCCCAAGCCCGGCCCGAGGCCAGGCTTGACTTGTGAGAGTTTGGTCCACCAGGCTGTTGCTTGGAGAGGCCCGCAGGCCCACATACCCTCCACAGCCCGGTTGGTCCGGCACGTTTTTTTTTTTTTAGAAAATAGTCTAGTTTCCTCTTGAAGATGTCCACGGTTGTTCCGGCAATATTTCTTATAGTCGCTGGGAGGACGTTGAACAACCGCGGACCTCTGATGTTTATACAGTGTTCTCTGATTGTGCCTATGGCACCTCTGCTCTTCACTAGTTCTATTCTGCATTTTCTTCCATATCGTTCACTCCAGTACGTTGTTATTTTACTGTGTAGATTTGGTACTTGGCCCTCCAGTATCTTCTACGAGTATATTATTGATCTCTCTCGTCTTCTTTCTAGTGAGTACATTTGGAGAGCTTTGAGACGATCCCAATAATTTAGGTGCTTTATTTCGTCTATGCGTGCCGTATATGTTCTCTGTATTCCCTCTATTTCAGCTATCTCTCCTGCTCTGAAGGGGGAAGTGAGTACTGAGCAGTACTCAAGACGGGACAACCCATTTGTACAACCATGTTGTACTCTTCAAGTACAACATGGTTGTACTTGAAGAGTACAACCATTGTGACGTGATCTCTGGACTTGAAGGTTCTTGTAATCCATCCTATCATTTTTCTGGCTGTCGCAATATTTGCTTGGTTATGCTCCCTAAACGTTAGGTCGTCGGACATCATTATTCCCACATCCTTGACATGCTGTTTTCCTACTATGGGCAGATCCAATTGTGTTTTGTACTCTGTATTATGTTTCAGATCTTCATTTTTACCGTACATGTGTACCTGGAATTTATCACTGTTAACATCATGATATTTTCTGCGGCCCAATCGAAAACTTTGTTGATATCTGCTTGTAGTTTTTCTATGTCTTCCGCAGAGGAAATTTTCATGTACAAGTACATGATTTCGGGTCTTAGCGTCCCCGCGGCCCGGTCCTCGACTAGGCCAATCCTACTAATGGTTACAGTGCAGGAGCTAGAGGTCAGTCCCAGCAAGGAATACCTGGCGAGGTTGACCTTTAGCTCCTGGACTCCCGTTATCGGGCGATTCCCCCTCTCTTGTGCTGTATCACACCACAAACTACAGTGTCAGTGAGGCAGGTACAGTGTCGGCGGGGCGGGGCGGGGCGGGGCGGGGCGGGGGCGGGGGCGGAGCGGGGCGGGGGCTGGGACAGGGCGGGGGCTGGGGCGGGGCGGGGGCTGGGACAGGGCGGGGGCTGGGACAGGGCGGGGGCTGGGGCGGGGGCGGGGCGGGGCAGGCCTGGCGAAGGGGAGTGGGAAGAACGAACGAATAGGAAGTGAGTGTGTAGAGCAGAATACTGGATAAAAATTCGCGTAAGGGACCGACTAAACAAAGCCAAAGCAGCCTTAGGGAAACTGAGGAGATTCCGAAGCCTCAGCATGAACATACAGATCCACCTATACAAGGCGCTAGTTCGGTTGAATCTAGAGAATCCCTTAGTACCACTACACACCTTGAAGAAAACTAACATGCAGAAACTGCAAGCAGTACAAAATAAGGCGCTAAGGATAGCAGCAAAACACAGTCCACCATATGATCGGACAATCCAGGAGCTCCATGAACTCTTGAACAAACAGCCACTAAACATCAGACTGCAGCACCAAGCCATCAAGGTGTGGAACACCATCCAAATGATAGAGGACCCAATGTTAGGTTACTCTAAGATGTGACGCCCCGCTCCCACAGCTGGTGGCCCAAGATGAGACGCCCCGCTCCCACAGCTGGTGGCCCAAGATGAGACGCCCCACTCCCACAGCTGGTGGCCCAAGATGAGACGCCCCGCTCCCACAGCTGGTGGACCAAGATGAGACGCCCCACTCCCACAGCTGGTGGCCCAAGATGAGACGCCCCGCTCCCACAGCTGGTGGACCAAGATGAGACGCCCCGCTCCCACAGCTGGTGGACCAAGATGAGACGCCCCACTCCCACAGCTGGTGACCCAAGATGAGACGCCCCACTCCCACAGCTGGTGGCCCAAGATGAGACGCCCCACTCCCACAGCTGGTGACCCAAGATGAGACGCCCCACTCCCACAGCTGGTGGCCCAAGATGAGACGCCCCACTCCCACAGCTGGTGGCCCAAGATGAGACGCCCCACTCCCACAGCTGGTGGCCCAAGATGAGACGCCCCACTCCCACAGCTGGTGGCCCAAGATGAGACGCCCCGCTCCCACAGCTGGTGGCCCAAGATGAGACGCCCCACTCCCACAGCTGGTGGCCCAAGATGAGACGCCCCGCTCCCACAGCTGGTGGACCAAGATGAGACGCCCCGCTCCCACAGCTGGTGGCCCAAGATGAGACGCCCCACTCCCACAGCTGGTGACCCAAGATGAGACGCCCCACTCCCACAGCTGGTGGCCCAAGATGAGACGCCCCACTCCCACAGCTGGTGACCCAAGATGAGACGCCCCACTCCCACAGCTGGTGGCCCAAGATGAGACGCCCCACTCCCACAGCTGGTGGCCCAAGATGAGACGCCCCACTCCCACAGCTGGTGGCCCAAGATGAGACGCCCCACTCCCACAGCTGGTGGCCCAAGATGAGACGCCCCACTCCCACAGCTGGTGGCCCAAGATGAGACGCCCCACTCCCACAGCTGGTGGCCCAAGATGAGACGCCCCACTCCCACAGCTGGTGGACCAAGATGAGACGCCCCACTCCCACAGCTGGTGGCCCAAGATGAGACGCCCCACTCCCACAGCTGGTGGCTGCCCCACTCCCACAGTGGTGGCCCAAGATGAGACGCCCCACTCCCACAGCTGGTGACCCAAGATGAGACGCCCCACTCCCACAGCTGGTGGCCCAAGATGAGACGCCCCGCTCCCACAGCTGGTGGCCCAAGATGAGACGCCCCACTCCCACAGCTGGTGACCCAAGATGAGACGCCCCGCTCCCACAGCTGGTGGCCCAAGATGAGACGCCCCGCTCCCACAGCTGGTGGCCCAAGATGAGACGCCCCGCTCCCACAGCTGGTGACCCAAGAGCCTCTATTTACTAGATGAAAACCCCGCCCCACAGTACATAATTCCCAGATGAAATACTGACCAGAAATCCTTCCCCCAATAATAGAAAAAAATCGAATATGTATGTGTATATGTATATAGATGTGTATATGTATAGTATATAAATATATATGTATGTATGTGTATAAATATATATGTATGTGTATATAAATATACATGTATGTGTATGTATGAATAAATAAATAAATAATAATAATAAAATAAATAGCCTTAAACAGAACAACATGTGTGGAAGCATCGGAGTGTGTATATATGAATGCTACACAGTATTCATCTATAGACATCCATATGTGGTGAAACACATGTGAAGAACCTCTCACACACTCACAGCTCCCTGACAAGAGGGAGCCAGCTTAGCTTAGCTGCCAACACCCACACATCGGGTCAGCAAGGCGGACAGCCCGACGCCTGCTTTCATACCTCTCACTGTATTTCCCACTTCTTTACTTCCCTTCACCTGTGCCTCTCCTTCCTCTTTACTCTCTCTCAAAAAAAGCGATACTTGTTTGTTTTTTAAGGCCAGACCATGGATGGCGTCACCCATACCACCAGTTCCCCCGCTGCCATCCCACCACTACCTACTGTGGTAAGCAGGAAGTGGAGTGGGTGACGTTACCAGGTGGCGGGCTGTCCGCCTCGCTGACACGATGTGTGTGTGTGTGTGTGTACTCACCTAGTTGTACTCACCTAATTGTGTTTGCGGGGGTTGAGCTCTGGCTCTTTGGTCCCGCCTCTCAATTGTCCATCAACAAGTGTACAGATTCCTGAGCCTATTTCTATCATATCTACACTTGAAACTGTGTATGGAGTCAGCCTCCACCACATCACTTCCTAATGCATTCCATTTGTCAACCACTCTGACACTAAAAAAGTTCTTTCTAATATCTCTGTGGCTCATTTGGGCACTCAGTTTCCACCTGTGTCTCCTTGTGCGTGTTCCCCTTGTGTTAAATAGACTGTCTTTATCTACCCTATCAATTCCCTTCAAATTCTTCAATGTGGTGATCATGTCCCCCCTAACTCTTCTGTCTTCCAGCGAAGTGAGGTTTAATTCCCGTAGTCTCTCCTCGTAGCTCATACCTCTCAGCTCGGGTACTAGTCTGGTGGCAAACCTTTGAATCTTTTCCAGTTTAGTCTTATCCTTGACTAGATATGAACTCCATGCTGGGGCTGCATACTCCAGGATTGGCCTGACATATGTGGTATACAAAGTTCTGAATGATTCTTTACACAAGTTTCTGAATGCCGTTCGTATGTTGGCCAGCCTGGCATATGCCGCTGATGTTATCCGCTTGATATGTGCTGCAGGAGACAGGTCTGGCGTGATATCAACCCCCAAGTCTTTTTCCTTCTCTGACTCCTGAAGAATTTCCTCTCCCAGATGATACCTTGTAACTGGCCTCCTGCTCCCTACACCTATCTTCATTACATTACATTTGGTTGGGTTAAACTCTAACAACCATTTGTTCGACCATTCCTTCAGCTTGTCTAGGTCTTCTTGAAGCCTCAAACA